GGCTCCGTCTCCAAAAAAAAAAAAAAAAAAAAAAAAATTCCATTAGACTCAAATTGAAAGACCAAGTACAGAGTGTAAAGTAGTAAAAAGCAGTATTAGGGCCATGGTAATTCTATGATATCTAGAACCCCAAGTCCTTTATACAGAATTGTTACTGTGATGAGCAGCAGTTTCTTAACTGCTGTGCTCAGGGGATTTAAGCATGTCCAGCCCAGACAAAACCTTGGACTTGTCTCTTGGATATTCTTTTATTTATTTATTTATTTTGAGACAGAGTCTCACTTTGTCATCCCTGGTAGACTGCTATGGTGTTATAGCTCTCAGCAACCCAAACTTTTGGGCTCAAGTGATTCTCTTGTCTCAGCCTCCCAATCAGCTGGAACTACAGGTGCCTAGCACAACACCTGGCTCTTTTTAGAGACAAGGTCTCACTCTGGCTCAGTCTGGTCTCCAGCCTATGAGCTCAGACAATCCACCCACCTCAGCACTCAAGAGTGCTGGGATTACAGCTGTGAGCCACTGCGCCCAGCCTCTTGGATATTTTTGAACTGGGGGGTACATTAGTTTCTTTGAGCTTCTGTAACAAGGTACCACAAACAGTGTGGCTTAAAATAATAGAAATGTATTATTTCACAGTTCTGGAGTCCAGAAGACTGAAATCACTGTGTGGGCAGTGCCATGTGAACTCTGAAACCACCAGGGCTTCAGACATGCCTGTCTCCTAGTTTCTGGTACCCTCAGACATTTCTTGGCTTGTAGATGTATCACTTCAATCTTCCATCTTCATATGGCATCTTCCTTGCATGTTTCCCCATCACCTCTGTGCTTGTCTATCTTTATGTCCAAATTTCCCTTGTTATAAAGACATCAGTCATATTGTATTATTTTATACAATATTTTATATTTATACAAGTATTATACAATATGACTTCGTTTTAAGTTCATTACCTCTACCAATTTCCAAATAAGGTAACATTTTGAGTTACTGGGGTTAGGAATTTGACATATATTTGAGAGGGGAATAATTCAACTATAATAAGTGGTTAAATAGTATCAAATCAGTTTTGATGATAATTATTTTTTCATGTGCAAATGAAACTGATGAAATATATTAGGGTTTCCTTTCTGAACTTCTTTGCATTATATGCATTTTTAAAACATTACACCAGAAAAAGTATACTATTTTTATTCTTCCATGCTTTGTTTTTTCCATTTAACATAGCTTAAAAATTATATTTATTATACAGCAAAAACATTAAAATGTAAAGTGTTTCACTGTATTAATATATGCTAAGTTTCCAAAATCAAAAGAAAATATAGCATGGAGTTTACACTTTCAAAGTTAATTGTATCTGCATTCATGTAGCATTATAGTTCAAAATAGAATATTTTCCTTTGAAAACAGTCTTCCAAGGCCAGGTGTGGTGACTCATGCCTATAATCCTAGAACTCTGGGAGGCTGAGGTGGGTGGATTACTTGAGCTCATGAATTCGAGACCAGCCTAAGCAAAAGCAAGTTGTGAGACCCCATCTTTACTAAAAATAGAAAAACTGAGGAAAGATGACCACTTGAACTTAAGGGTTGGAGGTTGGTGTGAGCTATAACACCACAGCACTCTACCCAGGGTGATGAGTGACAGTTTAAGAATCTGTCTCAAAAAAAAAAAAAAAGAAAAGAAAAAGAGAAAAAAAGAAAGAAAAGAAAGTCTTCCAGATTCTTCTTATCACAGTAGACTAATAACAAAATAAAAAAGCCAATTCAATTACACCTGAAATCCCCAAAACTAAAATAATCAGGTATCTTTTCTTAGAAATCTGTTCTGCATACTCATCAGGAAAAAAAAGCCATGGCAAATAAACAAGAGACTGAGTTTAAAAATTACAAATTCCAGAATATCTTGAGGTCAGTGCAAATTCAACCTAATACATATCCTGAAAGAAGTCCTTAGCTTGAGTTTCAGTCCCCAAATTGTCATTAATAATCTGTGTAATTATAAATAAATCATCTTACTTTTCTGGACTTCAGGAGTTTCTCACTACCTGCAAAATTCATGGGTAAATGATGATAAAGTTGATGATGGTGATGACAATGATGATGATATAATAATAATAATAATAATAAGGTTTATTACTCACCTATTTTGTACTAGGCACTTTATTGACATTAGTTCATTTACTTCTCATAACATCCCAATGGCATACATACTATCTCCACTTTTATAAATGAGGAAACTGAGACTCTTAAAAGGTGCATATATAGTTTCCCAAGATAGTAAAGTAAATGGTGAAATCAGAGTTAGATTCCATGTTTTCTGGATTTAAAGCTTCACTCACTGGTTTTTAATCTTTTTTAAAAATTTCATGTTCATGTTTCATAAGCATAAGAACTTTGCATCTCCACTTTTACTCTGATATACTTCCTGATGTTGGAAATCATTGCATCATATTATTTTCTAATTGCATCTTTATCTTCATCTTTACTATTATAGTATTATTATGTAATTATATATTGAAGTGCCTGTTGAATCATCAAAAGATTAATTAATATTAATATTAATTATAGTTTTAGTGTTAAATACAGGATGTACAGAAAGTTCATTGCAATTTTTAATTTAAATTGAAATTTAAATTGTATATGAACTTTATGGCCATCTTGTATCACTGGAATATTAATTTAATCAGAACATGCAATTCCTTGGCCAATCTAGGTAAGTATTTGAAGGGTCACAGCTACCTCATCAAACAAAAATAGAATTTAATAAAAATGTTCTCAATGGAATAATTTGAAAAATAATATATCACTAATTTAAAAAATACTTTGTTCTTTTCATGATTAGTAGATTTTATTATCAGTGCTTTTTTTTTCATGTGTATGTGTCTATGGAATGCCATCCTCAGGTTCAATCCCATCATCACATTGTTCAACAACCCCAGATTATCCACTCTCCACACTGTCAACCATCCTATACTAGCCAACAAAGTCAAACCATCACAGGAAGTGATTCAACTTCTACAAACACTGGAAATGAATTGTGCCATGGTGGATTGAGCCAAGTTTATGACCAGGTAAGATCAATCATCTGATTCCTTATCAAAGTGAAATAACTTTCTTTTCTTTATTTTTATTTTTTTCCTTTCATTAAGTCATATACACATAGATCATGAATAGATTTATGCATTTATGGGGTACAATGTGTTGATTTTTTATACAATTTGGAGAGCTTACATAAAACTAATCAAGATAGTGTTCACCTCATTTACTTAATTATTGTGGTAAAACATTTATGTTCTATTCTTGATAGATTTGACTTGTACTCTTGCAATATGCTCCATAGGTGTAGTTCCCCCGTTTATCCTCCCTCTATCAAATATCCCCCTCCTCTCCCATCCCCCTCCACTTATCTCCTTCATCCTGGGCTACAGTTGTGATCTATATTTCATAAGAAAGTGTGAGTAATTATAAATTGGTTTCATAAAAGTACTGAGTACATTGAATACTTTTTATTTTGTTCTTGAGATACTTTACTAAGAAGAATATGTTCCAGCTACATCCACGTAAACATAAACAAAGTAAAGTCTCCATCTTTTTTAAGGCTTCATAGTATTCCATGATATATTACAATTTATTAATCCGTTCATGGGTGTATGGGCACTTGGACTTCTTCCATGAACTGGCAATTATGAATTGAGTTGCAATGAACAATCTAGTGCAAATATCTTTGTTGCAGAGTGACTTTTGGTCTTTTGGATATATACCTACTAGAGGAATTGCAGGATCAAATGGTACGTCTACTTTTAGGTCCCTGAGTGTTCTCCAAACTTCTTTCCAAAAAGAATGTATTAACTTGCATTCTCACCAGCAGTGCAAAAGTGTTCCCTTTCTCCACATCCATGCCAAAATCTGTAGTTCTGGGATTTTGCGGTGTGGTCTACTCTTACTGGAGTTAGATATCTCAAAGTGGTTTTGATTTGCATTTCTCTGATGATTAAAGATAATGAGCATTTTTCCATGTCTCTGTAGGCCATGCACCTGTCTTCTTCAGAGAAGCTTCTGTTCAAGTCTCTAGCCCACAATGAAATGGGATCACTTGTTCTTTTCTTACTAATAAGTTTGAATTCTCTATGGCATCTGGTTATCAGACATCTGCCAGAAACATAACCTGCAAATATCCTTTCCCATTCTGAGGGCTGTCTATTTTCTTTACTTGCTGTGTTCTTGGCAGTGTAGAAGCTTTTTAGTTTGATCAAATCCCAGTAATGTATTTTGGTATTGTTTCAATTGCCCAGGGGTCCTCCTCATGAAATATTCTCCCAAGCCAATTTCTTCAAGTATTTCCCCTGCACTCTCTCAAAGAATCTTTATAGTTTCATGTCTTAAGTTTAAGTCTTTTATCCAGTTAAAGTCAATTTTTGTTAGAGGTGAAAGTTGTAGATCCAGTTTTAGTCTTCCACAAGTCACCAGGGACTTAACCCAAAACTCTTAGAAGTGATCAAGGAATACAACAGTGTCTCAGGATACAAATTAATACTCATAAATCAGTACCCTTTATATATACCAACAATAGTGCAGTCGAAAAAATAGTCAAGGACTCTATTCCTTTTACAGTAGTGCCAAGGAAGATGAAATATCTGGGAATTTACCTAACAAAGGATGTGAAGGATGTCTATAAAGGAAACTATGAACCTCTGAGAAAAGAAATAGCTGAAGATGTTAACAAATGGAAAAATATACCATGCTCACGGCTGGGATGAATAAACATTGTTAAAATGTTCGTACTACCCAAAGCAATCTACAGATTTGATGTAATCCCCATTAAAGCACCTCTGTCATACTCTAAAGATCTGGAAAAATTAGTACTTCATTTTATATTCACTTTATATGTATTCCTTAGGTTGGACGAGGTGGCTTATCCCTGTAATCCTAGAACTCTGGGAGGCTGAGGTGGGTGGATTGCCTGAGCTCATAAATTCAAAACTGGCTTGAGCCAGAGAATGACCTCATCTGTAAAAATAGCTGGGCATTGTGGTGGGTTCCTGTAGTCCCAGCTACTCAGGAGGCTGAGGCAAGAAAATTACTTGAGCCCAAGAGCTTGAGGTTGCTGTGAGTTGTGACACCATGGCACTCTATGGAGGTTGACAAAGTGAGACTGTTTTTTTAAAAAAATCTATTCTTCATCTTTTCCATTGTGCTAATACTCTGCACTCCACTCCTTCTTTGCAAATGGCCTTGCCCTCTAATGAAAACAGTCAGTGGGTTTCAAACTTTAGTGTGCATCAGAATCATTTGGAAAGCCTATTTTATCTAAGTAGAGATTGCTGGGGCCCAATAATTTGCATGTCCAAACTACCTGTTTATCCTAATGCTGCTTGCCCCGAGATAACAATCTGAGTTCACTGCGTAAACTCCTTTAATGCCCTATTTCACTGAAAAATTCTTCTATACTGTCAGCAAACTTCTCATTCTTTTGATCTTCAAGAATTAAGACTCTTAATTTGACTTTTGTTCTCAAGGTGATTCCTTTCACAACCCTATCATTCTATTTACTTATGATCTCATCTTTTCTGTTCCTTCACCTGCAAAATTTTCATAGGAGGAATTCATGTTCACTGATGCCATTTCCTCACTACACTCACATTCTTTAACATTTGGTAAAACAGATTGTAAATTGAGTATGTTCCTGAAATTGCTCTTCTTGACTTCCAAGTTGCCAGATGCCACTTCCTTTTTAAAGCTTCATCTTATTTCAGTTCTATTGCATTTGGTAACATTCATCCATTTCTTCTTGATAGTCCTTCTACAGTTTCCAATTAAACTGTATTGCTCCTTCTAAGTCTTCTAAGGTTCTTTCTTCCTTTACCAAAATTCCTTCCCTCAGGACCCATCTTTGGTCACCTTCTTTTTTTAATATACTCCTTTTTCCTTGAGTATATGATGTAAAATCTTAACTTATATTACTACTTCTACATGGACAATTTTCAAATCTTTCCTCCTCAGATCCAATAGATCATTTTTAATTGCCTATCTGACATCTCTACTTGGTGGTCTCACAGTCACCTTCAACTAACCACAACACCACAACAGATTTTCACTCTAAATCCCCTATTTCTATTAATGATATTTCCAGTGTTCAAATCACTAGGCTTAAAATTGAACATCATTTTTCACATTTCCCTCTACTGTGCCACTCCATATATAATAACTTGTCATTGATGATTCTTCTATCTTACGACCTCTGTAATAGAGTTGAGAATTAGTTTTCCTTTTTGTAACTCTTACCATTTGATATGTATCTCTCTTTATATCTCTTATCAATTAGTCAGTTTATTCAATACATTAAAGTTATTTATACATTAGATCTTCTAAAAGACCATAAAGTCCTGGAGGAGACAATGTCATATATATTTTTGTTTCTAGTAGTGCTGTGTTTATAGCTTAAAACAGTGCTTAGGTAATTCTCAATAAATGTGTGCTAAATGAATGAATGAATGACTTGTGACTGTGAGATCTTATAAATTCTACCTTTGGTTGATGGGTATAGATTTTGGCCTTATGTTTTAGAAAAATGATAGAATATAAGATAAATTACATTAAAAGTGCTAGTGTATTATGTGGTAGGTTTGTTTATTGGCTGAGGTTGTATAATATAAGTACTCACATCCCTTGAATAAATTTTATGCCAAAGAATTGTAGAATAGAGAAAAAATAGAGAAATGGAGAGGTAGAAAATGTAACCAAAAAGTGTTGTCAATATGTCATGTATTTAAATATATATATTAGTTTAAAAATAACTTCATCAATTTAGATACTTGTGTGTGTGTGTATATGCTGAGGGTGCCAAACAAATGCATACACATTTTTAAGAACAGAAAAAACTATATTAAATTTGTAATACTCAAGTCACATTTGACTTCTGCAATAAAATGTGTACCCATTTTTTGGCACCCTGTGTGTGTGTGTATTTACACCTCCAACATCATTGCAAAAAGGATTTGGAGTAGTTTATGAGAATAAATAAGATGCAATGGGATAGAAAAGAAAATTATCTGCCAAAATATAAATATAATGGAGCTATAACACCAGAAGAAAAAAAAGAACATAGAAATGCAGGCCACTATATTCTATGTTAGTAGTATACTGGATCAAAAACATGGTTCTTTGAAACAATAGGAGAAAAAGGAAAGTCTTATTTGTTGCAAAATTCTCATTATCTGTAAGAAAAAACTTTATAAATTCTTTTTTTTCTTTTTTTGTTTTGTAATTTCAGGTTAATTTGAGGGTACGAAGAATTAGTTACAATGTTTGTTTTGCATTTGTTAGGTATAGTTCCTGTTGTAGCTGTGTCCCACTCCCAGCAGCTGTGCCATATACTCTGACATTATGCCCACTAAGTAGGAGCATAACAATTCCTCATCCTCTCCCCTCATCTTGAATTGAATTGAATTTTTCACTTGTGTGAGTTTGTTGCATTGGAAGCCATCATTAAGAAAACAGAAAGAGAGGAAGCCAACAACTTAATGGATCATCTCAAGCAACTGGAAAAGGAAGAACATTCTAACCCTGAACTCAACAGAAGAAAAGAAATAACCAAAATTATGGCAGAATTAAATGTAAATGAAAACAAAAAAAATTATTCAGAAGATCAATGAACCAAAATGTTTTTTTTTTTTTTTGTTAAAGGTCAATAAAATTGATAAACACTTGGCCAACCTAACCAGAAATACAAAAGCAAAATCTCCAATATTGTCTGTGAGAAACAATAAAGGAGAAATAACAATAGACATCTCAGAAATTAAAAAAAAAATCCTCAATGATTATGACAAAAAATTCTCTTCCCAGAAAAATGAAAATCTGAAGGAAATAGACCAATACCTGGAAGCACACGACCTTCCCAGACACAACCAGAAAGAAATATACATCTTGGCTCAGCACCTATAGCTCAACCGGCTAAGGCGCCAGCCATGTACACCTAAGGTGGCGGGTTCGAATCCCCAGCCCAGACCCGCCAAACAACAATGACGGCCTGCAACCAAAAAATGGCCAGGCGTTGTGGCGGGTGCCTGTGGTC